GAGGGAGGGGGGTATGCGTACCATGCGAAAGGGAGTGGAAGAGTGGGAGGGAGTGGAGAGTGGGCTGAGGGTCAAGGAGGATGGGTGTGGTGAGTCAAGTGTAGCAATTGTTGTGCAGGTGTGTTACGGGTGCTGCTTGCTCTAGTTGTTGGTGTACGGTCTGTCACAAGGGGGGGGGGAGGGAGTGCGTGACGGTTGTGAAGAGAGTCTCATCGTGTGACTCAGACTCATTGCCACTCACGATCACTCACTCGTTGCCAAGGTCATTCATCATTTTATCATTCGATATCAACAACAATCAAGGCACTCCCCCCCCCCCCCTTCCCATCGATTATTATTCGTTGGCCGTGATCATTGTTTGCTGGCAGCTGACAGTTGACCGAGTGACAACCGTTCGTTCTCTCTCTTGAGTGGCGCCAACGCTCCCGCCTGTGGCCGGTGCCTACGCCCAAGACCACGACCACGACCACAGACCAAGACCAAGACCAACTTCACCCCACCCCATCACCACCACCCCATCACCACCACCACCACCACCACCACCACCACCACCACCACCACTACCACTACTACTAATACTACTGTTATTGATCAGTAGCGTACTTTCATCTCATCATGGCCATTCGTACTCAGTTTGAAAACTCGTCGGACGTGGGCGTCTTCTCCATTCTCACAAACTCGTACTGTGTGGTGCCCATCGGAGGATCAGAGAACTTTTACTCCACCTTTGAGGCTGAGCTTGTGGATACAGAGCCTGAAGTGCCTGTCATCCATGCTTCCATCGCTGGTTGCAGAGTTCTTGGCTCGCTGGCTGTCGGCAACTCGCGTGGTCTGCTCGTTCCCTCCACCACTACCGATCAAGAGCTTCAGCATCTGAGGAACTCCCTTCCTGACAAGGTCGTCGTCCAGCGCGTTGAGGAGCGTCTCTCGGCTCTGGGTAACTGTGTCGCCTGCAACGATTATGTTGCTCTCGTTCACCCCGAGATGGATCGCGAGACCGAGGAGATCATCCATGACGTCCTTGGCGTCGACATCTTCCGGGAGACCGTCGCCGGCTCGGCCCTCGTCGGCACCTACGCCACCTTTTCCAACAACGGTGGTCTTGTCCACCCGCACGTCACCGTTGAGGAGATGGACCAGCTCGCCTCGCTCTTCCAGGTTCCCATCACCGCCGGTACCGTCAACCGCGGTTCCGACATGATCGGCGCCGGCGTCGTCGTCAACGACTGGATTGCCTTTGCCGGCATCGACACCACCGCTCCTGAGATCTCCGTCATCGACGACATCTTCAAGCTCCAGGGCACTGCCCCGTCGTCCATGATCGAGGAGATGCGCGGTGCGCTCATCGACTCGCTCGCTTAACCTCTCCTCCCCGCTGGTGGATCGCGCTCGTAAACGTGCACAGCCTTTTACACTCCGCCAACCGTGCTTCGCCGCCGCCCGCGCCGCAATGCCTGAGCAAGTCGCCGCAGCTGGCTTGACACTCGGTCGACGGTAAAGACCGTGAGTGCGGTCCGAACCGTCCGACCGCGTCGCTGCAGCGCCGCGCCGAGGCCAGGCACCGCCGATCGCAGCGTGAGGACGTCAAAGAGCTCAGAGCCCGGCAGCGCGACCAGCGGCCGTCCTGCAGCCATCATCCACGGCGCCGCCGCCAGCGGCGTCCCATGTCCGCCGCTCGATCGCAGGATGCCATGCTCGAGCGCATGCATCGAGAGGTGCAGGCCACCAACGTCGTAGCACACAAATCGCGCCACCTCGCCGGGCGTCACCAGCTCGTTGCCTGCAAACTCAACCGCGGCGTGGAGTGCGAGCGTGTTGAACAAATTGAGCGCAAGGACCATGATCTCGAGCCGCGACGCAGCGTGTAGCGCCACAGACCGCAGCTTGAGCGTCGCCAGTACAAACGAGCGGTACGTCGGGAGGACTCGGATCTCTGCCGCCTTTTCCGCGCTCACCTCGACGCCGCCGGCCGGCTCAACCAACGCCGCGATCCGGGCCAGCAGCATCTCCGAGAGCGTTCCGAGATCTGGTGCGCCAAAGTCGACCCATCCCGAGTCCTCGGATGCTCCAGCCAGAGACTCCTTGGGAATGGTGTTGAGGACATAGAGCGTGCGCGCCGGCGGAAGGCTCGCCAGCAGCCTGGCCCGTGCCGCCACGTCGACCACGTGTGCACGGAAGGCCTCGGTCTCAGCAAGGACCGCCAGAAACGCCGCTTTGGCGCTGCACTGGGCATCGTTGGCCGTGCCACAACGCGCCGCCACCCAGCCGCCAACGTCAAAGACTCGCGCATACGGATCTGGACTGGCCGTCGACGAGCCCGCATCGCCGCCAAGAAAGTCATTGATGCCGTCGACGGTCCAGGCCAGATGCGGGGCGAGAGCCGCGGCAAGAGCGGAAGCAGCGACGGCCTCGGTCGGCTGCCTGTCGGCGAGCTCGGCAAAGCGCAGGCTGCGGAGTGTGGTAGCCGCTGCATCCTCCATCACCAGCAGGACCGTCTGCGGAAAGCGCGGGTGCGGACAGGCACCGTACACGAGATCAAGGTCAGCGTCGTAGACAAGGACGCCCGGCGTGCGCGCCATCGTTGCGCCAAGCGCGGCAGCCTCCTCATTGGATGCATGCAGGCCAAGCAGAAACGGCGCAGAGCCATCGGCGAGCTGCAGCAGGGCGCGGCGCGGAACAAGCGACGCAAAGGCGTGCGGCCAGACAAACGGTGCTAGCAGCGTCCGCAACAGCGCGGGCGTCCGCGAAGCAACGACAGGCGACGCCGAGCACACGACAACTGAGGCCTCGGTCAGCAGCGCCACAACCAGGCTCACAAGCGACGGTCCGTGGAGGGAGGCCAGCCATCTCACGTCTGCAGTCCCGGCAGACGTGGGAGCCGTCGTCGCCACGCCGTCCGCGATGCCGTCCAGGGGCATTGCACCGGCCACAGCCGCCGAGCTATCCGAGCCCAGGACCACGTCCCTCCCTGCAATCAACCGCAATCGATCACGATCCTCGCCCTCACCGTCTCCACCATCCCCACCAGGTCCGAGATGAGAGCCGCCAGAGCGAGGCATAGACGGTGTCCATGACAAGCGGATGAGCGAGAAGCCATTATCAGACGGGGTCCAGGCACCAAGAGCGGAGGAGAGGAGGTCCGAGACAGGATCATCATCATCATTGTCATCATCATTGTCATCATTGTCATCATCATTGTCATTGTCATCATGATCATCATCATGATCGTGATCGTGATCGTGATCATCATCATCATCATCATTGTGATCGTGATCGTGATCGTGATCGTGATCGTGATCATCATCATCATCGTCGTCATCATCATCGTCATGACCTCGCGGACTGCTTGGACTACTGCTACAGGTAAATGTCGGCGTCGTCGACGCCTTTGGCGTCACACTTGGTATCTTGCTGCTACTCCTTGGAACTCCATGCACTCGTCGTCGTATGCGTCGGCTTGGCTTGGCCGACATGTCGTTTAGAGTCGTGTGTGGCGCCGGCCGCAGGCGGTCGTGGTCGAGTGCCGGCCGCCGGGCGACGGCCGCCGGGCGATGGCCACCCGACCGGGCACACGGCCGCCGAGCACACGGCAACTCTCAATTTTTTACTGTCGCGACGGTGGGCATGAAGCAACAGCAAGCATCGTCGCCCGATTTGATGCCGGTGGGGAATGGGAGGTGCTTTTTTCTTGCAGACACACAGGAAAACCCCATCGGTGGCTACATCCTACACCCGAGGAGACGGCATCGGCGACCGCAAGGCACTACGCAGCAGCTCGGCTACCTGGGCGTTAGCAGCATAGTCCAGTGGAGAGCGCCCAAGATCGGCAATGGCGCCCGGCTCGGCACCAGACTCAAGCAGCGCCCGGATGATATCAAGCTTGCCGTTGTACGCCGCCACATGCAGCGGCGTCCATCCGGCGTGGGTCCGCCCCTCGACGTCGGCACCTGCGCCAAGGAGCGTGGTGACGACTAAGAGATGGCCCTTGCCCGCCGCTGCATGGAGTGGTGTCATCCCATCGAGGTCGCAGGTCTGCGGATCAGCCCCAGCCTCGAGCAGCAGCTGGACCGCGGCCTCCCGCCCATGGTAGGCCGCCGCGTACAGCGCCGTCCAACCCATGAGGTTAAAGACGGCATTGGCGTTGGCGCCGGCCTCCAGCAGCGCCTGCATCACATCGGTGTGTCCGCGCCGTGCCGCATAGTGCATGGCGGTCAGAGCTGTGACCGAATGGGTAGCGTCGGCAAACGCGAGCTGCAGCGACGAGTCCTCCCCGATCGGCTGGACCAGTCGCTGAACTGTTGCCAGGTCGCCGGTATCGGCCGCCGCTAACAGCGCGGCGTCGTTCTCTTTGGTCGCACCGTGCGCCTGCAACTCGCGCCGCACATCGTCCGACTTGGCCAGCTCAAGCGCAGTCAGTCCGTTGGCGTCGCGCGCTGAGATGTCGACCGCGGGATACTTGAGCAACTGCTCCAGCGCGTCGAGCTGACCCATTAGCGCCGCCACATGCAGCGCCGTCCGCCCATCGGCGTCGAGCCGCATAGCGTACGCGTCCTGGTTTGCACCATACTTGGTTGCATTGAGCAGCCGCGGTATGGCCGAGTACTTGTTGAACGCCGCCGCAATGTGGAGTGCGGATTGGCTTGTCGTGTTGCACACGTTGGGGTCCGCGTTGTGCGCAAGCAAGTTCTCGATCATGTCGTCCAGCCCCATCTGGACCGCAATGATGAGCGCAGTCTGGCCCTTGGCATCCGCCAGATTCACGTCTGCCCCTGCCTCGAGCAACATCTGCGCCATACCAAACGAGCCGACAGCGAGCGTGAGAGAGAGCGGTGTCGCCCCATCGGCGCGCTGTGCATCAAGCGGAGCGCCGGCCGCAATGAGGTCGCGCGTGATGGACAGTACATCACGTGCAACAATAGAGTTCTCATCACCCTCTTTCACCGCAGCAACCAGGTGCAGTGCCGTGTTGCCGTTCTCGTCGCGCGCGCTGGCAAGCGCATGTCCGTAGTACCGGATCAGCGGTTCTGCATACCGGTAGTTGGGCACTCGACAGACAGAGAACAGCGTCTCCACTCGCGCCGCAAAGGCATTGCTCTCTACCTCGATGTAGTTTGGATTGACCACCGGGACACTGCCCGAGCTGAAGCTCTCCAACGAGGTGAGCGAAGTGTTGAGCGCTGACGATCCGCGGCCGACCGCCCGTCGCTCGCCATCACGACCGCCACGCCGCCCGCTACTCCGCCCGCGACCCCGTCCGCGAACGCGCGCACGACCACGTCCCTTGCCGCGGCCGCGCGTTGTCTTGCGCCGACTTGTTGCTCCTGTACTGCTCCCGCCGAGCTTCTTGGCTTCGGCTGCCCGCGCCTCGCGCTCTGCGCGCACCAGCTCAATTGCTCGCTCACGCGCAACTTGCTGCCGCTTGACAGACCGGCGCGCAAGGAGTTTGAGCAACGCCGTCATGCACTCGTACGCCTGGCTCCGGACCGCTACGTCTAGCGGCGCGAGGCCGGCAACCGAGACCGTCTCCAAGTCAAAGCCTGCCTTTTCCACCAGCGGTTCGATGAGGCTCGCCAGCGCGGGCTTGCTTGATACGTAGTGAAGAGCAAGCAGGACCGGCGGCGGGCCCTCGAGTTGGGCAGCAACGGCTGCAAACGGCTCGTCAGAGCCCGACTCGTCCTCGTTGACAGCCGACGTAGCATGAAACATGCCGCGCAGCTGATCCATCGCCTCCAAAACTGGCTCGATCGCACCCGTGTCAAGCGCAGAGACTACAGCAGCCACAGCAGCGTTCGGCCCGTCATAACCGTAACCCTCGCCGCCGGCATCCTCCGACTCGTCCGACTCCTCGCCAGACTCGGACGCAGGGTCAGGAGCAATAGTCATGATGTCAATTTCCGCTCCCGTACCATCATCACCCTCAGCCTCGGCCTTGTCTCCGCTGTTGGCGTCAGCCTCGTGGCTCTGGGTCACAAACGTACTCGCCGGCGCACTTGGCTGCGCCAGAAAGGCAAGCTCAGCTGCAGCGTCGGCGTAGGGATTGACCTCGGCGTGGGCGGCAATGCGCCGCTGGAGCGCAGCGGCGCGCTCCATGTCGTGCGGCGCCTGCCGGAGCCGTGGATAGTTGGTCAGGTGCAGCGAGCCGCTGAAAGGGCCGATGGGTGTGCCAACGTTGAGGACGAGCTCGCGGGAGAACGGGAGCGCCAGTGCCAGTGGTGCGGTGCCTGAAGCCAGTTCAGCCTCGGCGGCAGCCACGTCGATGCTGTCCAAGAGACTAGAAACGTCAAAGTCGATGCTGGCGATGCAGACCTTGCGGTCACCGTGGCCGAGCATGCAGAGCCGGAACGAGAGCGTGAGCGCGCGGATCTTCTCCAGCGTCAGCGTCTTGACCAGCGGCTCGCCAAACATGCGCGCGTCCCATGACGGAAGCTGGTGAAAGAGGCACGGTTCGGTGGTCATGGTCTCGCCAGCAAGGTCGAGCTCGAGAAACGCACCCTCGAGGTCGACGAGGGCGGCCTCGGCCGAAGCGCGGTCGAGGCGGACGGTAGAGAGGCTCAGCTCGACGGGGCAGAGCTCCTGGATGACGCAGTTGAACGAGATGCGACCGCGATCAGCATGGCGGAGCCTGAGTTGAACCAGGCGATTTGGGGCGCCTGTGGCTAGATCGAGGAGCGAGAGGCGGGCATGTCCGATCTCCTCGTGCTCGGCTTGAAAGTCCATGTCGTAGCAGATGAGGACCATGTACGCGTTAGCCAACTCGTCGATGTGGGAGAACTCAAACTCAAACTCTGCAGAGTCTGGCCACACCGGATCGAGCTCTTCAAAGATGGGCTCTGTCTGGAGCAAGGCCACGGGCGGGCCGCTATCACCCTCGAGCACAACACGATGCTTGGGAATGACGGTTCCCAGTGATCCAGGACGAGCGCTGAGAGAGGCACCCGAACGGGAGCTGATCAAGGCACCAGAGCGGGAGCTTTCACCATGGAGAGCTTGGATATGATTCTGAGGTTCGACTGTCGCAGAGGTGCCATGGCTGTCACCGGCGAGGTTCTTGGCGTCGCTGGCGCCATTGCTGCCATTGTCACCAGCGAGCGGTCGGCCAGGACGGGTGGGGACACCAAAGGCGACCTGAAGGTATGGGTCGGCCAGGTGATTATGTGCATCCATCCAATGTAGCGAGTGACCACGAAAGTCGCTGAGGCGGACATGGAGCGCAGTTCTCCGCATGGTCGTCCCTCCCAGCCGTGCCTCTTGCCCGACGTCTCCTCCGCGGTTGGCGCGAAGTGGTGAACGAACCGAGTTCGAACCGGGGCCAACGATAAAGGAACGTTTGCTGCAACGCTCGCTGCAGCAAGGGTAGAGGCGAACCATAAATTCAACCATGGCGAACGATAAATGAAACGATGGCTGCTACGATTAATGGTACGAGTGCATACAGGCGGGTGGTCTGCTTTACAGGCTCAACTACTGGACAGGAAGCCGCGGCTCGGCACGGTTGAAGAGGACCGAGGCAATGTGCTCCATGGCGAGGGCACCGATGGCATCGGCGACGAGCGTGGCGACGACGAGGAGCTGGAAGGAAAACGAGGGCCACGGTGCGAGCTCGGCAAGGTAGGCAAGCGGCGGGATGACGCCGAGCGCAAGGAGGATGAGGAGCGAGGCCATGGTGGCAAGAATGTAGATGAGGATCTTGTTCTCACGGAGACCCTCCATGAACGGGTGCCCGCGGTAATTGATGGCAAAGTTGGCGGTCTGCATCCATGCCGAGAGGATAAAGACGACGTTGTTGACGACGTTGGGCTCAAAGTCGGCCTCGAGATCGGCCGAGACGACTTCGTTCGGCCCGAGGCCGATGGCGTCCTTGGCAGCGGCGACGAGGTACATCAGCGCGCCGAGGTGGACCGCAAACTGACCGAGGAGCGAGACGAGAAGGTAGGCGGTGAAGACCCGCGGCTGCGGCCGTGCGGCAGAGAGGGTCGGCAGCGGCTTGGACCGCGAGATGAAGAGGAAGCAGACCGCGACCAGGATGCCCATGAGCGTCATCTGCAAGTCGCCAAACTTGACGCCATCGAGGTAGAGGACCGAGAGCGCGTAGGCGTTGACCAGGCAGTTGAGGGCAAGAATGCGGTACATCTGGTGGGTGGTGACGAGCGTGCACCGACCCTGCTGGATGACGAGGCAAATGGCGTGGATCGACGACGACTTGGAGGTGAATGGCGAGGCAATCGACGCATCGCCGAGCTTGATGACCGGCTCGGACGACATGGCCGCCGCCAACGAGCCCTGCGGCGCGGCACCGCCGGAGCGGTTTTTCTTGCCCTTGCCCTTGGCCCGCGCCTTGCGCCGCGCTGCCGCCAGCTCCTTGGCGCTGAGGCCTGCGCGCTCCGCCTTGCGCTTGCGGAGCTCAGCAGCCTTGCGCGCGCCCGTTGACGACGCTGCAGCCTCGCTCTCGTCGTCGTCATCATCATCTCCAGCAGCGTGCTCGACAGGAAGCCCAGCGTCGGCCCGGATCTTGGCCCGGAGCGACGCACCGTTGTCCACATTGAGCAGCGCTACGCCGACGTGAGCCTGCTTGAGCGCGCCGACATCATTGGTCCCGTCGCCGCACATGAGTGTGGTGAGGCCGAGCCGCCGCAGCGTCGCCAGCACCAGCTCCTTTTGCTGCGGGGTGACGCGCGCAAAGACGCGGACGTAGGGAAGGAGCGCGTCAAGAAGCGCGGGATCGTGGTCGGCGAGGGCGGCAAAGCCAGGTCCGTCAAGGGCCACGTCGTAGCTCGAGACAAGCTCGCCCACAGTGGCGGGTGTGTAGGCTGCCACTGGCAGACGGGTGAGCGACAACTCGGAGGCTACACGCCGGGCGGACGCGCTAGAGGTCGAGAGTAGGATCGAGAGCTCGGGATCGATCCACTCGGTCGGCATGCCGCTCACCGGGTCGGCGAGAAGAGTGAGGACCTGGCGGGTGGCCATGCCGAGCTTTTCGGCGACCGAAATGCCAGTCAGGAGCGCGTCGCCGGTGATCATCATGGTCCGGTGCGACGACTCGTGCAGCTCGTCGATAGAGGCGAGCGAGTCGACCTTGAGCGGACAGTTCATGACCAGAAAGCCGGCAAACTCGAGGTTCGACTCGGCAACATCACGCGGGACGGCGCTCGGCTTGGCAGCCTCGGCCTCGGTGAGCGTCCGGGTGGCGAGGGCGATGACGCGGGCGCCCTTGCGGGCCCAGCCCGAGTACGCCGACCAGTACCAGTGCGGAAGGTCAGCGACGCAGTTGGCGATGACCTCGGGTGCGCCCTTAGTGAGCACCATCGGCGTCTTGGCGCCCATCCCGCCGTGCTGGATCTTGGCAATGACCGACATGCGCTTGAGGCTCGAGCTAAAGTGGAAGACCCGAACATGGAAGGCCGAGGTCTTCATGCCGCCGCGGCCAATCTCGGCGCCGGTCGAGGTGAGGTGCCAGCGCGAGGCGTGGAGCGCGGCCCGCTCCATCGGGTCGCCGACGACCTCGGCCCGCATGGCGACAAGCGAGTGGCAGGCGCCGAGGACAAGGCCGGCGGCCGGCGGGGCAGAGCTGGCGCGGACGAGGCGGTCAGGGTTGTTGGCATCGACGCCGGCGACACCACGGACCACAAGCTCCTCGGTGGTGAGCGTCCCGGTCTTGTCAAAGCAGCAGACGTCGACCTTGCCGCCGTAGGGAATGCGGAACGGTTCGGTGCAAAACACGCCCTTGGACTGGAGCGCGACAAGGGACGAGTTGACAGCCATCGAGAGCTCCATAGGGAGCTCGGGCGGCACGACCGAGGTGACAATCAGGATGCACTCGAGCAGGAGCTTGGACTTGGGGAGAATGGCCCGCTCGATGCCGGTAGTCCACACATGCCACGCTGCGAGGAGGGCAAACGCGAGGAGGAAGCAGATGAAGCCCAGTGCCTCGGCGTTAGCCGCGGTCATGCGCTGGGCAGCAAAGACAATGGTGCGGACGAGCGAGCCCTGGGCAGTGTCAAAGCCGGTGCGGACAACCATGCCGAGGGCAGCGCCAGAGCGGAAGGACCGGAATGGGACGGCACTGGTCGGCTCTGAGTGCTGGACCACCGTCGTGCCACCAAACACAATGTGGAGCTTGTCCGACTCGAGCGAGAGGGTACGGTCGGCCGGCCAGGCGTCGCCGCCCTCAAGGAGCGGCTCCTTGGCCTGCGGGACCGACTCGCCGGTGAGCATGGCCTCGTTGACAATGACCTTGCCGTAGAGGAGGACGACGTCGCAGGGGACGGCGCCCGGGTCGGCCTCGTTGCGGCCGCGTGGGCCGGCGAGAGCAATGATGTCGCCGGGCACCAGCGTGGTCGACCAGACTGACGACCACGTGCCCTCACGGAGGACATTGACCTTTGACGGCTCGGGCGACATCGAGCCAAGGGCGGCCAGGTTGCGCAGCCGCTGCTTGACCATGACACCCTCGAGGAACAGAAGCATGACGAGCGTGAGCAGGGCGTAGTGCCAGTACTCGTCGAGGAGCCAGAGAAGGACACACATGATCTGAAAGACAAAGAACGGCGCAAGCGCGTGCTCGATGTACATGTCCTTGAACGTCCGCGACGGGACGTCGAACGAGTTGCCGCCGTACATCTCATGCGCCGCGGCGAGGCTCTCGGGCGACTCCAACCCGCGTGCAGCGGCATAGAACTCGCGCGGCTTGCCGATCGGAAGCTCTGGACGACCAAAACCAAAGCGACCAGCACCATCAAGCTCGCCAAAGCGATAGACTTGCTGCTGAAAGACGACAAAGGTAGCGTCCAGACCTTGACGATTCTCACTCTTGCGCAGATCCAAGATCTGGGCCTTTCCACGAAGCTTTGTAGGCAGAGCGAGGACCGAATCAGCCCAAGCGAGTGACTCTGCGTTGCACACCAGTCGCCTTGCCGTCAAGCGAGCCTTGAGAGGAACGGACCAGTAGCCAGCGAGGAGGACTGTAGCTTGGATGAGGAGGACAGCAGCGAGGAGAAGCCAGCACTCGAGACTTGACCAATGGGGAAGGTACGAGAGACTGGCAGCAAGGGTAGTAGGCAGTCCAAGTACGAGAGGTACATACTGGCAAGCAGAGAGTACCAGAGAATGTCGAAGGAGTACAAACTCAACTTCGTCGTCTGCGCTGAGCCCGCTCATGGTGGACGGGGGGGGGGGGGAGGGGAGAGGTCTTGGTGACTTGGTTGGGGATCGGTCTGAGTGGGCGAGGCGGGGGACGGGGGACGGGGGACGCGGAGAGGGCGATCTGGGACGGGGAGGGGAGGGGGAGAGATCTTGGTGAGTTGGTGGAGAGAGGGAGAGAGGGAGAGAAGGGGGGAGGGGGGTCGAGGGATTGGGGACGAGGATGGGAGGGGGGAGGGGGCGGAGAGGGGGGGAGGGGGGATCGAGGGGTCCGGGATCGCAGGATCGTGGACGAGGATGGGAGGGGGAGGAGGGGTCGGGGATTGAAGGATCGTGGACGAGGATGGGAAGGAGATCGAGGGGTTGGGGTGGGGGGAGAGGTCTTGGTCACTTTGTGGGAATCGGTTTGAGTGGAGGGTGGCGGACAGGATCAGAGGTAGGCGGAGACGTGAGAGGAGGGGAACCAAATCAACCATGCGGTGGTGCGATGGGCCGGGTCATCATCATGCTCACCCCTGCGATCCAATGTAACCATAACACACCGATCAACACCGATCAACCACCCTATCAGCCAATCCCATACTTCCTCTATCTCCCCTTCCCTCCTCCAGCCCCCTCCACCCCCGCCTCCTCTCAGCAACAGCCATCATAAGCCATCGGTCACGTGTCGTCTGTCACCGGTCACAGCTCAGCCATAACCACTGGCACTCGACACTCGACCGACGACAACACGACGACGACCACCACCACCACCAGCACCAGCACCAGCACCAGCACCAGCACCAGCACTCCACCCACCCACGCCACCACCACCCACGCCACCACCACCCTCTACCACCATGCGCGAGGTGGTAGACTATGTAGTCTTTGGCTCTGCAGACTGTCCAGGCTTTGCCAAGGTACGTCCCTCCCAACTGCCATACACCCACACCCCCCCCTTGCCATGTCCCTGACAGCCGTTGCCGCCCTCCCCCTCCCCCTTCCCCCCCTCCCCGCCCGTCCCCTCTTCCCCCTCCCGCCCTACCCCCTACTACCTACCCCCTACTACCTACCCCCTACTACCTACCCCCTACTACCTACCCCCTACTACCCTTCTACCCTACTACCTCCCTATCTTCTTTATGTAGAGTTGTTGTGGTGGTATGGATGGGGGGGGGGGGGGGGGGGGCGTATTGTGAGGAGGGGGTGGGTCGGGGTCGGGGGGAATGGTCATGGGAATGGTCATGGGAATGGTCATGGGAATGGTCATGGGAATGGTCATCATCGTTATCATCACCAGAATCATAGTCATCATCATTATGGTCATCATCATCATCATCATCATCATCATCATCATCATCATCATCATCATCATCATCATCATCATCATCATCATCATCACATCATCATCATCATCATCATCATCATCATCATCATCATCATCATCATCATCATCATCATCATCATCATCATCATCACCACATCCCCTCACCACATCCCCTCACCACATCCCCTCACCACATCCCCTCACCACATCCCCTCACCACATCCCCTCACCACATCCCCTCACCAATTCCACATCCCAAACCACACAGGCGGAACGGCTGTGCGAACTGATGGCTGCCCGCTACCCGCACTTTACCTTCAAGCTGTACATGAAGGACCCGGAAGAGTATGACGATGGCGTGCGCAAGGCCGCTGATACCATGGGCTTTGTCGTCGGAAAGCTTGCGAGTACGCCTCAACCGGCGGTGCAGCCGCAGCCGCAGCCCTCGACCCTCGCCAGCGCCTTGTCGTCGAGTTCGATCTCTGCTGCTGGCCCAAAGTCAAACGCCTTTGTCTCGCCGCTCATCTGGACCGGCGTCGGACGGTGGGTTGGCTCGGTCGACGAGTTTGCCGCCGTGCTGGAGCACAAGTACGACTTGTTTGACACTGAGCCGCCCGAGGTCTACGAGGCCATTGCCGCAGAGAACATGGCGGTTGTCGCCGCTCGCCAGGAGGCCGAGGCCAAGGCTGTTCAGGCCGCCTTCCGCGCCCAATTCGACGACACTCGCCTCCCAACCGAGCTGGCCTATGTCCTCGGTAACCGGCTCATCCGTGAGCCGCCGGCCGAGGCCCCACGCCTCCCGGTCGTTGCCACCATCGATGGCGAGGTCGTCACCTCGGTTGTCGGCTGCTCGTACGAGACCGGCCTTCTTGCTCTCAAGAAGGCCCGCCGCGCCACCAAGCAGTTCAACGGCATGCCGTTGGAGAGCCGCCTCGCCGTGGCAAACAACCTCGCCCACGCCCTCGCCTCGGTCGCCCGCAAGTTTGCCGCCGTCGCCGCCGCAGAGTCGGGCATCCCGTTTGTCACCGCAGAGGCCCGGGTTCAGGCTGCCTTGGACCAGCTCGCCGCCGCCGTTGCAGGCATGCAGGCTGTGGCGAGCGCCGACAAGGCCAAGCTCGACGCCGCCCGCGCAGAGTACATGGCCAAGGTCCACGAGTGGTACTACGTCAAGAACGCACCCATCGAGTACGTCATGCTGCCCGAGGCCGAGACCTCCGAAGTCACCCCCGACGCCACTGGCGACGATACCGGGACCGAGATGCTGTCGTCAACCGGCCCGCACGACGAGGTCTCCTCGCGCTCCTCGTTCACCATGTACTCGACTCGTACCTCGTCCGAAGCCGAGATCAACGACCAGATGTCGGTGACCTCGGGTGCCTCACGCTCGCTCCTCCGCGTCGGCTCCGTTTCCGACTCGACTGCCTCGCTCCATCTCCCCAACATCAACTCGCCTTACACGGCTTCGACGCCGCTGATGGCAGGAGGTGGGGCTTCAATCGCAAACAACATGCACAAGCTCTTCTCCGTCCCGTCCATCCTTCGCAACGCAAACGCCGCCTCGGTCACTTCGGTCCTCTCCTCGGCTTCGTCCGCCAAGGCCGGGCCGTCGCTCGTCGAGCCGCAGCCATACGTCCCCACTCACGCCCGCCTCGGAGTCGGCCCGGTCCTCATCTATGTCGACAACCACATGCCGCTCGACCTTGTGGTTCACATGATGGCCCCGGCCCTGGTCTCGGGCACTCCCTTTGTTGTCCTCGCCCCGCCCGAGACTCCGCTCACGACGCTGCTGCTCGGAGCCGTCCTCTCGTCGGTCGGCGTTGACCTGCCGCGCGGCGCCTTCTCCTTCCTCGTTTTGCCCAACCCGGAAGAGCGTGCCAAGCTCGCTGCTGACGAGCGTGCCGGCGCCCTCCTCGCCCTCGCCGACCCGGCCAGGCTCGCTGCCCTCGAGGCTCCGCTTGCAGAGCTGGACGCCATCGCTTTCTCCGAGGCCAATGCCGTCCTCGCCAAGCAAATGGCTGAAAAGGCCGGGCCCATGCACTCGATCGGCCTCGCTGCCGCCATCACCGTCGACGCCACTTTCTCAGGCTCGACCTCTGGCGTCCTGCCCACCATAGGCCCATCCAACACCCGCAACTCTCTTCTCGCTGGCTCACGCGAAGACTCGGCCGAGTCGCTGCACCAGCTCAACGACTCGATTGCCCGTCTCGAGCTGGACAAGGTCCGGGACGCCAGCTCTGACTCGGGCTCGGCCTCGCCTGAGCCGAGCAGCGGCAACGAGCCGGACTCAGACCCGGATGCAACAGATGCAGCCGCGGGCAACGAGGCTGAGCAAGCTGCTCCGCCGGCCGGCCCCTCCCCGCTCATCACCATGTCGCCGCTCGTCACCCGGGTCTTTGGCACACGCTCCGGTTGTCGCCGTCATCGGCCCGAACCACACCGTCACCCCCGACCTTATTGCGCTCCTCAGCGAGGCCATGTTTGGCTCCTGGGCCCTGCACTTTGCCCCGCTCCGGCGAGTCCTTGTCCACGCCTCGCACGAGGACGCTGTGGTCAGTGGCCTTGCCGCCGCTGCCGCTGACATGTTTGCCGCCTCTGGCCAGCCGCTCTACCCAGACGCCCGCATGGGCGTTCTGCCTGGCGGCACTGCTGCTGTCCGCGCCCTCGACCGTACGGTCGAGAAGATGCTGGCCACCGCCGGCTCCACCTTGGTAACCGGTGGACGCCCGGGCTCTGGCCGCAACGCCATGGTCTACGCGCCGACCCTCATCCAACTCGACGACCCGGCCTCGCCCTGCGGCCTCGACGTCTCCATCGTCGGCCCGTACGGCACCGTCGCCATGTGGTCGACTCCGCGTGCGCTGCAGACTGCCCTGGAAGCCTTTGTTCCGCCGACCGAGTCGGACGACGAGCCCGTCGCCCGTCACCTGCCTCGAGTCCGTATCGGCTTATTCGACGGTGACGCCGAGTCTGAGCTCGTGGCTACACTTGTGAATGCCTTTGACATTGTCGATCCCCTTGCTCCCGTCGACGAGCCTGTCGTGCCCAGCATTGACGTCGAGGGTCCGGAAGGGGCCGCTCAGGATGCCGAGGCCAGCGACGAGCCAAACGCCGAGCCAGCCGAGTCAGACGATGCGGCTGTCGGGGCCAGTGACGAGCCAAACGCCGAGTCGGACACCCGCAACGGCCGTGTGGCCGACACCGCTTTCGACAACGACGCCGACCGCCCGCTGCCTGACGCGCTGCACCCGCGGCTGGAGATGCTGCCCAGCCCGGCCCGGCTCCGGGTTGCGCTCACCGTCGGTGCCCTGCCTGCCCTGACGCTCTGGGATGAGGCCTCGCTTGGCCGTGAGACGCCGGACGCCGCCCAAGTTGCCATGGAGTTTGTCATCAACCAGCTGACAACCTTCAAGGAGCTGCCCGGCCGGGCAGTCCCGCCGCCCAGCACCGAGCTCTTGCGCGAGCGCCGCACGTTTGATGCCACCGGCCGGCGGTACTCGCACTCGGCCGGTGGAACAACTGACACGGGCCTGGTCTCCATCCTCCGCCAGCCGTCCAACACGTCAAGCAAGCCTAAGCGACCGGTCAAGTTCAACCCGCAGGTCCGAGTCCGCCACATGAAGGAGTAGTCAGTCGCCCGACATCGGTCCCTTGCCTCTGTTCACCGTGGTTTGTTTAACACCAGCACGCACCACATTCATTCTGCCCGGCACGTTGGCGATGACAGCGAGGTCGAGTTCAGTCGATCAATCGATCGGGATAAATCGGTCGAGTCGATCACGTCGGTCACGTCGGTCGGGTTGGCCAGGTCGGTCAGGTTGGTCGGGTTGGCCGGGTCGGGTTGGGGCCGGGTCGGTCGGTCGGGCAACGGGCGGGCGGGCAGCGGTACCTCACGCCGGCAGTAACCCCGCAGCGAGAGCGGTGAAGGAGGAAGAGGGCGAGCAAGAGAAGGAAAAGTAGATATGGGGATAGAAGAAGGATGGGTGTACCTCCTTCGAGGAGGAGCATGTGCTACTCGTCGTCTTCCGCCAGGTACACCTGTTTGGCTGGCGCTGCTTGATGACACTCTGCTGTACTACGCCTCGGCACCAACATCACGATCAATCGCCTCTGCGCCGCTCTTCTCCACTCAGCTCCAATCTCTCTCCATTGGCAATGTCGTCGCTCTCCCGCCTTCTTCCATGTACCAAGGCATGCATGCTGCAAAGGCTTCTGCGCGCTCCGCGAGCTCAAATCTGCCCGTCGATCACTCTGATCATCGTTTGTCGTCATCACGCCGCCCTGCTCCCAACTCGCTGTCATCATCACGCCCACCTATCATCACCGTCATGGAACAGGCTCGTCAAAAGGCCGATGGCGAAGACCGTCCTGGCCTGGCGTCCGAGTCGCCTGCGGATGCAAGTCCGGCTATCGATGAGCCCGTGGCGGCGTTTGTGTTGAGGACGCCGAGAGAGGGCCTGCTTCTTGCGCCGCTGACGTCTGAGGAGGCGCATGCGTGGGTCAACTCGCTGCGGGCGGCCCAAGCTCTGTTTTTTCCGCTGCTGGCGTCGGCGCCAAAGCGGGAAGGTCCGATGCTCAAGCTGAGCGGGACTCGGGCGGCCGGGCTGTTTTTCGAGCCAAGATGGGCGACGCTAGCCACGGGCCGGCTATTCTACTTTGCCAACGTGGATGACGTAACGCCGCGCGGCTCGGTGGGACTGGACGGCGCCGAAGTCTTCTATCTCGGGGCGTACGCGCCCGAGCTGGGCGATCCGCTCGAGTACGCGGCTGCGCTCGAGGCTCGCGGCAAGGCACTGTGGTCGTCGCCGTCGTTGGCCATCGCCGAGGCGCACATTGTTGAGCACTGCTTTTTGGTAGTGTCGGCTGACGGCAATGTGGTCCTTGCTGCCGCCTCGGAGGACGAGGCCTTTGACTGGATGCGCGACCTGACCCACTCGCGCGACATCCTCGAGGAGGCCCTGCGGCCGACGGCGTCTCACAAGGCGCTCTACGCCAAGGCCGCCGCGCATCTAGCGGCCAAGTACGACACTATGAACCGGCCATCGGCCAAGCCTGTGGTGGTGCCTGCACCACGCCCGCGCGACGCCTTTCTTCTTGCCGAGGCCGCGGTCGATGTCTCGTCGTCAGCCTCGCTCGCTCGCCAGTTTTCCACCCGAGCTGACGGCAAGGGGCGCCGAGTGGGAAGCAGGGTGACGTCGGGCCAAACCTCGCCAGACTCGCGCCCCGCACGCACGCCCTCTGGCCTCTCAGCCCCGCCGGACGCAGCCGAGACACCGCTCTCGCTTGGAGATGCCTTTGACTTGCCGCTCTCGTCGCTGCTGACGGGCGTGCAGCTGGTTGTGGAGACTCGGCGCCGGCGCGGGATGAGCCACGGCCACCCTTCGACTGGACTCGTTCTGCTCGACGCTAACGGCGTGCTCGTCAGCGCCCTCCACCGCGACGAGTCGGCACAGGAGCTGAACTATGTCTCCAAGACCATCAAGCAAACCTCGTCGCGACGGGTCGAGACCTTCCGGTTGGATCTGCTCACTGTGCCACCGCAGGTGGAAACCATCTGCTTTGCCCTCACCCGGGCTGTCGATGATACTTCCGACGAGCTCTTTGGCGGTCTTGTCGGGCTCAACTTGCAGCTCACCGATGGCCTCCCGACAGGCATGAGTGCCGCTACCGAATGGGCAACCGGAGCCTGGGAGCTGTGGCTCACCTCTCAGGGCCGCGGCGCACAGACTATTTTCCTCCCGGCTCTCGTCCGGACTGCGCCGGCATCAGTCGACACTGGCGCTGGCGCCGGTACGGTGCCAGAAACGGCAATGGCGTCGTCGTCGCAGCGGGCAACGTCGGTTAAGAGTTCTGGCTGGCAATGCGCGTTGCGGTTGGACTTTTCCAAGGCCACGCACCTTGCACATCTGGTGTACGATCTCCGGACGGTCGGGTGGGAGCCGTCGTCGCTCGCGCCACGCAACGTCTCGACGGTGGAGTTCAAGTGAAGGCCAGAGAGCTGTCTCTTTGTCGTTTGCTCGCATTCAATGGAGCGGCTCAGTTAGTGTGAAGTTGCCGAGCGAGCAGTCGCTGCTGGCCGAGGGGCCCGCGGCCGCGCCAAAGACCTCGCCAGAGAGGTCGTAGCCTGTGTCGCGGATCTGCGAGATGTGCTCAAAGGCACGGCCCGAGGCCCAAAGCTTGGCGACTGACGAGATGGAGTGGCCTTCGGGCTCGAGCTTGATGGCGGCAGCCATGGCCTGGTTTTGGGAGAGGATACCGGCCGCCGGCTGAGTGATGCAGACGACCACGTCGTCGAGCTTGCGCAGCCGGTAGGGGGTAGTCGCGGCGTTCTTGAGCAAATCGAGTTCGGCAGCGGTGCTTGGGTGCGTGGCAAAGGCGTCTTCGTCTCCATGCACGTTGTAGTAGAGGTCAAAGAGGGCGACGAGATGGGCGCTTGGCAGCGGGACGTACGGCGAGTGGGTAGCGTCAAGGGCGAGGCGGTAGCGCGGGTACCGGCGCGACTTTGGCGAAAAGGCAATGACGGCCTCGAGCGCCGCGAGCTTGTGCTTGAAGAAGCTTGGCAGGCCGCGCCAGGTGAGCGAGAGCCGCTGGATGGGCGCGGTGTGGAGGGCGAGAACAATGGCAGCAAGACCGGCAAAGTTGCCGAGGAGAAGCGAGGCATGGGCGACGTCAATGACGTAGCAGAGCGAGTGGAGGCGCTCGACAAGAACCACATCGATGGTGCCCGAGTCTAGGGCCTCAGATGAGGCGATGAGCTGGCCGGCCTGGACAAGGTGCGGCGAGGAGAGCAGAATCTGGCTCTGGGTCCAGCTCATGATGTGGAGCAGTTGGTCGAGGAAGTGGCCCATGGCCGGCGAGGCCAACGACTCGTCGTCGGTAGCACCGGGAAAGGCGACAAGCTGCGGAAAGGTGAGGGTGGCAAGCGAGGGAGTGACGAGCGGGTCGAGAAGAGATGAGCGGCCGTCACGAACCACCGTGGTGGTCCAGTCAACGGCTCTGACCTTGGCAAACTGCTTGTGGGTGAGGAGGGCGAGCTGGCGGGCGAGCTCGAGCGGGTGGACGTCGAGGACCGAGGTGATCTGGGCTCTGAGCGGACGGATGGGCTTGGGGACTGAACTGCCGCTGACGGGCGAGTCGGGCGTGGCCATGACGCCGAAAACGGGTTTGACGGCGTTTTCGACAGCCGGGTCGGCGGCAAAGACAATGGCGGAGGCGTTTCCGGCAGCAGCGCCAGACGTGCCTGCAGACAGCATTCTTCCGTCGGATTGGATGCGAGATAGGCCGGCAGCGGCGCGCTCGCGAAGCGCCGAATGAGAAAGAACCGGGTATCGGGCGAGGTAGGAGCGACAGGCGTAGAGCGGACGGATGGCGTACTCGCCCGACTGAAAGACGAGGGCGGTGTCGATGACGTCTGCGAGAGCGGTGAACTTGCGGATGTTGACCATGCGCGACTCGGTTGCGTCGCACCAGGTCTTGTGGGTGGCCTCAATGTTAAAGAGCCGGGCCTCGTACGGAACAATGTAGGGGACGGCCGGCGGCGCAACAGAACTCATGACGTCTGCCGTGGTCTCAAAGCGGAGGAGCGGAGCAACGAGCTCCTCGAGGGTGGCGAGTCGGGCGCGAGCGGCGGCGGGAACGAGATCAAAGGTCGCCTGGACTGGCGGCGAGAGGAGGGTAGAGACGATGCACACCAGCGAGGCGTAGTTGTCAAGCACTGCACAGCAATGGGCCATGTCGACAAAGGTGACGACGGCGCGGGCGCGGTCCTGGGCCAACGACGGGGTGGTGACTTCCGAGGCGACCCAGGCGGCGCGGCGGGCAAAGCTGTTGACAAACGGGCCGAGGGCCGGCTGGGCCTGGTTCTTGAGAAACTCGTGAGGCTTGATCTGAGTGTAGGCCTCAAAGTCGAGGAGGGTGAGCTGGCGGGCCCACTCGTAGGCCGAGAGGTCGCTGAGGGCGGCGACCGAGTTTCCGAGGTTGTCGTCGGTGGTGTGCGGCGGAGCAAAGAACGGCGCGAGGCGATCGATGTCGTATGACGCTGGGAGCATGACCGACGCGAGCGAGGTCTCTAGAACATCGAGCTCTGTGGAGAGGAAGCCAACGAGGCGGGCTGACGGGGCGTCGGCCGAGACGCCGGAGGACTTTGACGACTGAATCGAGTCAAAGAAGCCGCGGACAATGGTGGCGAGGTTGTCCTCGGAGAGGTCTGTGCCTGCGGTGGCGAGCCAGGCGTGGAGGAAGAGGAGGGCTTGCACACGGATGGCCTCGCCGGTCTCGAGCGAGGACCAAGTGACGCCGGCGAGGATGGGTCCGTCGCGGTTGGCGAGCGTCCCGTTGGGGTCAACGAGCGTCGGCGGCAGGGTTGCGCCACCGTGGTGCGGGTCAAGCACGCCTGCAGCAGTGTGGGCGAGGAACCGCTGGACGACGGCCTTGAGAAGGAGCGTTGACGGGAGGTAGCGCTTGTGGGTGTAGAGAAAGACCCGCAGGAGGTGCGGGTCGACGTGGGCCGGCTGGAGGAGCTTGCGGAGAATGGCCTCTGGTCGGGCAGCGTTGATGCTGACGTTGATGTGTGCGTTGTCATAGACGCCCGGCCCAAAGTACGGGTAGTAGACCTCGAGCTCCGGCTCGGCGTCGGACATCTCGGGCGCTGGTTCATCGAGGGCGGCAAGCACATCCTGGTGGATGGAGGCAAAAGTGGAGCGGAGGACTGACGCAGACTTGTCGGAGAGAGATTCTGCGCCGAGGGCGCGGACCTGGGCGCGGAGATGCGATGCGGCGGCGCGAAGCTCCGAGACGGCGGCCTTTTGCTTGTCAGACGAGACCTTGGAGTGGAGGAACTTGCGAAGAAGGGCAGTCTTGAGCTTTTGACGCATTTTGTTGTCGGGAGCAAAGGCGACCCACCAGCGGGAGAACTCTGCCAACGAGACCTTGCCATCTGTGTTGAGATCCATGGCATGAAACTCTGCTTCGATGGCAGACCGCTCGAGATCAGGATCGAGACGAGAGGCCAAGACTGCAAACTCGTCCAGAGAGAGAGCACCGGAACGATCTTTGTCAAAGAGAACAAAGGCCTTTCTCGCTTCATCAGCCTTGAGCTCACGAACAACTTCAGTCATGTCTTGATACTCTGCCTTGACACTCGCCACTTCGGCCTCTGTCGCCCCGCTTTCTTCCAGCCGCCGCAGCCTGCTCCTCAGCCTCCGCTTCTCCTTGAGCAAGTGTCGGACCTTGTCGGACACAAGGCCCATGATGCCTTCTACCCCTATTTCGTTCATGTGGAAGAGTCGGGTGGGGTGAGGGGGAGTGGGGTGTGTGGTGGGGGGGGGGGGGGGGTGGCGAGTGGGCGGCGC